ATGCCAATGGCCATGTCTGGGTCCAAGGTCCTGCTGCAGTTGAGGTCTGTGATGGTGTCCACGGCCCCAGCCCGTGTTAGCACAGGTGTCATTGGAACCGTGCAGTGCTGAGCCAGCCCCGCCCCTCACTGGATACTACAGAGGGGAGCTGGTCCCACCCCTTTGGGAAGGCTGTGTTGGATACCTGCTTCTGCTGGGTGCTGTTGTTTGTTTGCTTGCTTGCTTATTTTATATTTTGTTTCGGTCTCAGGCAGGGTCTCAAAATATGGGCCAGTTATTCTGTTAACAATATAAGTGGACAAGGTGACCTCAAACCCATGGGATCAGGGGATCCCCCTACCAATTCTGACTTAGTGGCAAGACTATAGGGTAAAACAGCAGTTGCCATGGACGGTAAGGGGAGAACAGAAGAAGTGAGTGAGTGAGGCAGGGGGATTTTTTTTTTTTTTTTAGAGGACTGTAAGGAGGAGGTGAACAAATGCAATGATGTAGCCGTCTGGAGTGTAGTGCAGAGATAAACCCTAAAAAAGGCGTGTAGTGCGATGCCATGAATGTAAGGTAACGATAAGAAGGGAATTATAAAGCCACGACCCAGAGCGAGGCAGACAGAAGCCTCCTGATGCAGTAGCGATGGACCTTCTCCTCTGCCAGACCCTGAAGCAAGAACCACCCTACCTCGTCTCAGCTGATCAAGGGTCCCACAGAGCAATGCAGAGGAAGAAGTCATTCAACCCCCATCACTGCATCGTGACAGGTATATGGGGTAGTCGATGTCCTTCATGACTACGGTACCCGGACCCTACTGATGTGTGTGTGTGTGTGTGTGTGCTGATTTAATGTTGAATAAATGAATTAGCCACACGTGTGTATGGAAACCTAATTCCTCCCTCTTGACTGAGAGGTAAGCGCTCCTGACAAGGACTGAAACCATTCTGTGTGAGTCTATGCAGTGTGTACGTCCTTAAAGAATTCGTCAAAAAACCTGTAAACATTTAAACACAGAGGGACAATTGAATGGATGACAATAAAGAATAATTTGTTTAGGCAGTGCGAGGAGGAAGATCGTAGCGGTATTCAGATGGTGACAAACATAAGAAAAGATCAAAACCCCGTGTGACAAATGCCGGGGAGACTTCAGCAAAGGGGCTGGAGAAGAAAGGGCCTGACTCGAGTGTCTGGGGAGCGTTCATCAGGACAGAGCCTCAAGGGGCTGCAAGGATGGGCGGGACAAACCAGTCGGTTGGTGAAGCTTTGCCCACAGGACTTCCCGTTAATAACTGCTGCTGCCTCCTGGCCTTGAATCAAATGGCAGTGGGGAGGGGAACATTTCTCGCTCTGGAGGTGAGACCCAGAGATAAGCAAGAGGCCAGAATGACCCCAGGAAGAGGACGATAGCTAGGCACAAGATTAAAACTCTTCTTGAGGACTAGAAACAGCTCCCATGTGACTCGGGGAAGGAGGGAGAGTCAGGGTAAGAAAATAGAGGTTTCCTTTAGGGCTCTCCACACAGATAATCCTCTTCTCCTTGACCAGGTAAGGGGCTCTGTGTTAATTACCCAACCTAAAGGAGGGAAGGTGGGCATGAAATCCCTCGGCTAGCTAGGACTCTTGACATTCCATAGCTGCTGGGAGAGAGGTAGTTTTTGGGTTTGGGTTTTGTTTTGAGTGATGTGACCCCTATAGGTCAACCACATGCCAGGACAGAACCTGCTCCCAAAACTCGCTGGGCAACACCAACTGGACTTGTTGGGGAAAGCAAGCAGAAAGGAAGAAATGTCAGAGTTGGGTGGGAAGAGATTAGAGGGTAGAGGAAGGAATTGCAGGGGATGATCGTGCTCAAAATGCACTGTAGAGAACTCTCGAAGAGTTAGTAGAAATAGCATTAGGAAAAGAAAATATGGGCTCTATTACAAAGAGAAAAAGAAAGGAAGTGCTTCAAAGCTTCACAAAGGAGTGACAGGCCAGTGGGAGGGACAGAGAAGAGAAGTAAGCCAGCTCACCCTGGTGCCTGCCGCTGCTCTGCGGGGAAGGGGCTGATAGGCAGAAGCCTATGAGAAAGGTACCTTGTGGGCCTAGTGGAAGAGACTAGCAGTTCCTCCAACCAGCACTCAAAGGCCTCAAATCCTTTTGTAGGTTTTTCTGAGACAATAACTTCTCTGGGGTGGGTCATCCGTGGGGAGGAGTTCCACTTTGCCCCTCTGTAGAACCCAGAGGGCACTGGCTGGACACCATATTGGAAGGGAACACGGTTTAAAACTGAGCTGACATAGGAACCTGAGAACAGTCACAAATCAAAGACCCTGAATTCAGCGAACCATGAACCCAGGGTAAGAGACAGCCCTGGGAAGCAGCTGTAGACTCCAAGAAGGCTAAACAAGTCAGGATTGTGAGTTCGAAGCCAGCCTGGACTATATAGTGAGAGCCTGTCTCAAATACACTCACTTGTCTTGAGCTTAATATAGACACAGATTGTTGACTACATCCAGGATTATCTACACATGCTTATGCACGTTAGCATATATGCGCATATTTCCTTGTTCTGCTGAAATTATCTAAAAGAAACTACCCTCCAACAGCAATGGTCATGTCTGGCACCTGATGAAAAAACCCAAAGCGCCTTAGAGAACAGTCAGTTCTAGGAGTGGAGCAGGAGGGAAAAGAAGCAAATACAAGTCAACCAACCGCATCCACCTTGATGTTTTCCAAGGTGGGCACAGCAGACAGCAGAAAGCGCAATGGCTAAAGGTAAAACGACCGGCAACAACAAGAACCGATTAGCCCTGGAGCAGAGCCCAACGAATAAAATGAATCATCACGAGTTTACACTGATATAAATGAGTGAATAAACGAAAAGATGTTGATGAGAAGACAACCCTCTCATGCAAGTGTGGTCCAGATGATGCATGGAGAAGTTTCAGCCGCAAGGAAAAGTAGAGGCTGCACAGTAGCAGGAGGAAAGAAAACAATGATGTTGCCATGGAGACACCTGCCAGCTTCCACTGTAGCCAGGTAGTTAGGGTCAGCAGCCACAGGACAAGTCATGTTGATATTGACCTTTTTGTGCAACATGATGCAAATGTCACTTTATCTCTGTGGCTTCCACAATACAATAACCCTAATTTAACAACACACACACACACACACACACACTCATACGAGAGAGAGAGAGAGAGAGAGAGAGAGAGAGAGAGAGAGAGAGAGAGAGAGAAAACTGTATAGTTGTATGTACTCTTTAAAATGACAAGGTCTAAAAGCAAGAAGACATTCATGAATTATCACACCCCATTGGCTCCTGGGAGGTGGAGCAGCTGAAAGCAATATGGTAGATAAACTTCTGGAATAGAAAAGGACATTGGACAACACTAGGAAATCTGAATAAAGTGTGCCTTTTAACTAATACTATGGCTAATCATAATGCATTGTTATTATCCCATGAACTGCAACAAGTTACCCTGCTAACAAGAACTGAGGAGAGCTGAGGTTAAAAGCCTATGCTTAGCGTTCAGAAGGCCCTGGATTCCACCCTCAGTACCAAGTGGTAGAATAATTGAGGAAGCCGTGGTGGGGATATAGAAATGTTCTGTACTTCATAAATTTCCTGTAGAACAGACACAACTACTACCCACCCGCTCACCCACCCCTCTTTTAAAGACGAATTGAGAAGACTCTAGGAGAGGTTTCAGAGGCAGAAGAAGGGAACACCCCGAACCAATCCTTCACCCACTGCTTTCCCAGGGCTTCTGACTTGCGCTCTTTAGCACACCCCTTCCCCCCAGCCTCCACGTGGATTCCCGACTCTTTCAGAGTCGTGTCCACAGCAGTCAAGAGTTGGTTTGGAACAGGCCTTGTCTTTTTCAGCTTGGTTTCTCACTTCTGGAATCACCTGAGCAGTCTGTGGGGTCTTGCGCCCATCCTAAGTCAGCTGTTCTGTGGAGGGAGAGGAGGCACGGCTAGCTTAGTCTGGTCCCTGTGCTGCATCTGCTGTGAAGCCAGCCAGGGGTGAAGGAAACCTTCTTCTACTCAAACTCTTAGACAGGGAAAGGTGGCTCTGTTGGCGCCAAGAGACTTACAAGACAGGTGGCTGAGCCAGATGATGGAAAAACTTGCTGCTAGTGCTTATAGTGAACAGGCAGCAAACTGATTTCCACAAGGCTGTTAGAGGTGCTTGTAATTTGAAAAATAGATGAAATAAGATAAAAATTTGCTTTAGGTTCTAAGGACTTGACCCAACTTATTTTTTTGAAATGGATTATAACTGTACTCTCTCTCTCTCTCTCACACACACACACACACACACACACACACACACACATACATACACACACACACTGCCCAAATCACTGTTAAGCATAACTGTAAGCTGAAAGAATAAAATGAAATCAAGCTATTTTATGAGGTTTAACATACATCTTCTTTAAGAAAAAGTGTTTTTTTTTTTTTTTTTTTTTTTTTTGGCTCAGTGCAGTGGCGCACACCTTTAATCCCATCACTCAGGCAGACGAAAGTGGCTCCCTATGAGTTCAAGACCAGCCTGGTTTCCATAAGGAGTGTGAGGCCAGCCAGGGCTACATAGTGAGGCTCTGTCTCAGGAGACAAAATGGCAGGAAGAATAGAATAACACTTAGAATTGTAAGACATTTATTTAAAAAAGTAGTCTAACTTTGCTCAAATTCTTATCCGTGAGATATGTCCAATTTTAAAGGATGCGATAAATCTAAATGACTAATAGTGAAAAGTGTGACCAAGATACTTCGTACTAACACCGATCTGCTTCCCTACCACTCATCATGAATTTATGCTTATGGAAATCTCCTTGTCAAAGCTAGCTCTGCCAGACTGACTGTGGCCATAAAGACCTGTTGACAGTACGAGGTGTCCACAGTGGGACCCGCGCATAAGACAACAATAATCCTGTGTTAATCTCACAGTCGAACCCTTTATGTGAGGGTGACGAAAACGGCTTAGATCCCGGAGAAAGTGAGCCCACGCTCTCCGCTCACCTGTGACGACCATGCGCTTTCCCACGGTCTCAGAGAGCGGCTCCCGGTACGAGACAGACATGCTGACCCTTAAGCTTCTGTGCTGCAATTCCTGCCCGAATCGTCCTCAGAACAGTGAATGGACCAGGAATTGTCAAGGACGGGGTCTCTGCTCTCCCAGTCTGTGACCTAGGCTGGATGGTTACTAAGGATGCTTTATGACAGGAAGAGCAGACATTCCTTCTGCCAGAGCTCTGTATTCCAGTGCCTGAGAGCAGACACAACTGGAGCTGCACCCCACCACAACTGTCCCTTGTCTGCCCATATCAACCAGAAGCCTCTGGTCCATGATGTCCTAGAACAGCCCGGCCGGCTGTCTCCAGTATCTTTCAGCATTTCTGGAGAAGGTTCTACAAGGACAAATTGGGGGTTGGCAGGGGAGAAAGAAAAAGAAAGGCAAAGCATGGTTAAACACATCTGAAAGACACTCTCCAGGAAAGTTAAAGCCCGCCCTGAGACAGCTAGACTACACAGACACGCACCAGAGCGCTTACACCGAGAGCTTTCCATTTCCCAGTGTGGAAGAATGGGTCAAACCTGTCTCGTTTTCCTGGCCTTCAGTGTCTTGTCGTTTGACTCAGGCCTGCATTGCACTCTTCTTTGCTGCCATGCTGGTTCACAGTTGCAGGATCTTCTCTCCTCGGAGGCTACCCAGTCCTGATGAGTGTGTTTAATGGTACTGGGTCATCACAACACCTCTCTCTTTGAAAATACTCTGTCCTTGAAATAACCATTGTCCGAGGTATCCAAGTTGGAACTGACTTAGTACAGATAGGGGCCACTGCTCTAGAGGCAGTGGGACCTGGGAGGATGGAGCTGCTAAACAAGGCAGTCTAAAGTCTTGTGTAATAGTCGGTTTTATTCAGAGCATCGGACAATTTCTACTCTGAGGGTTAAGAAGCATCACCAGAGTAAAGTGTCCGATCATACCACAAACAACAGCAAGGCAGCATGTCTTCCCATAGAGGCACATAGACAAATGACAATAGCCGCTTGTCATGAATAATCTAAAGCCAACCCATTCCTACCCACTACTCCCGGGAAGAGCGCAAAGACATGTTCCAAGAACAATTCCACATTCTGAAGAAAGTGAGGTCACAAGGCTCTTGTCTGTTTTCTCACAAGCACTCAGAATTCTCCACGGGGCTCCATTCTTGGACCGTGTTCCGATAGATAGGACTTAAACCCCATGTGTGGTGGCACAAGTCTGTAATCACAACATTCAGGAAGGGGATGCCAGAGGATGTCCATTGTCATCTTTGACTACGTGGAAAGTCCAAGGCTAGTTTAGGATACACAAAACCCTCTCTTAAAAACAAAAATAACAAACAAACAAACAAAATCCCTGGCGTTGGAGTGAGGACTACAGGAACCAGCCCATTCGGATGTGTCCTTGTATTTGTTGCTGTATTGCCCAGGCTTTTACTATTGGACTGAAGGGATCCTCTTGCTTTAGCCTCCCCAGTTATTGGGACCATAGATGCGCTACTAAACATGGTGTGGGAGAATGGTTTGTATTCTGTCAATTATAATTTAAATAAACGTTCATTGACCAGTAGCCAGGCAGGAAGTATAGGTGGGACAACCAGACAGGAAGTAGAGGCTGGTCAATGAGACAGGAGAATTCTGGGAAGAAAAAAGCCTATGCCTCTGCAGTTCTGAGCCTGCCACAGAAGCAAGATGTGACTGCCTCGCTGAAAAAGGTACTGAGCCATGTGGCTAACATATACTAGAATAATGAGCTAATATAAGTTATAAGAGTTAATAAGAAGCCTGAGCTAATGGGCCAATCAGTTTATAGTTAATGTAGACCTCTGTGTGATTTCTTTGGGACTTAACGATTGCGGGAACTTGGCAGGACAGAAACCTCAACAACATAAACATGGCTCACTTGCATTTTTAATAATGCTTCAAAGAGAAAAAAGATGGTTACACCTAAATTAAGGAAAGTAATTATGGACCTGGTGAGATGGCTTGGAAATTAAAAGCACTGGCTGCTCTTCTAGAGGATACAAGCTCAGTTCCCAGCACCCACGTGTCCTCTCACAAATGGCTGTAACTCCCATTCCAGGGGATCTGATGCACTCTCTGGCCTCTTGGGCATAGGACATACACATAGCACACAGACTTACATGCAGACCAAACACCCATGCACATACAATAATTGAACTTTTTAAAAGCAATTGTTTGTAACTTAAACAGAAAAAAAAAGATCACAACTTTGCCTGAGTACCTTCCATTAAGCCATCACGGGGAAGGAAGCTTCTGCTCTGATTCAAAGACTCTTGCAAACTTTCTGAGTTTTAGGGTTAACAACTCTCACACCAAAACACTGAAGGGAAGGAAACAGGGGAGGGGGCAGCAATTCTTCTATTTGAGATTATGGACCAGGTCAATACAAGTTTGGGTTCACTTGTTGCATATTTCAGATTTTAAGGGTTTTTAAAAATAATTTATCTTTATTTTATGTGCATTGGTGTGAAGGTATCAGATCCCATGGAACTGGAGTTACAGGCAGTCGTGAGCTGCCATGAGGGTGCTGGGGTTTGAACCGGGGTCCTCTGGAAGAGCAGTCAGTGCTCTTAACCACTTATCCATCTCTCCAGTCACCAGTTTTTAAGGATTTTTTTTCCTAAAAATTTTATAAAGGAAAATAATGGCATCGTTCATAAGTAAAATTCTTAAAATAAGGAATATTTTTTAAAAGAAAATCTCTACATTTATCCTTGTTAATTCCATAATCTATTCTTTTTCAGTAGTATTTCTAAAATTGAAACTACACTTATATACATATATAGACACAGAGGCGTACTTATATTCATATCTCTTCCCATCTAAAGGAACAGTGATGTGTGGAACACGCTTTCTCATCTTACTTCATAGTCATAGTGCATCTGCAGAGCAGTCTACACAGCACGAGGTAAACTCAGTTCTCATTTTGTGGACACAACTAGAACATATTCAATTAAATGCACTTGCCATAATTCATTCCACCAGTGCATTATTAACGATCATTCAAACAATCCCTTTTTTTTATACAGACAGTACTATAACATAGGTGTAATCTTCTGTCCCACCAACCCACTCCCAAATAACCACAGAGACTTCTTATTAATTATAAATAGCTTAGGCTTGTTACAAACTAGCTCTTACATCTTAAATGAACCCATAATTCTTATCTACGCTCTACAACACGGCAGTACCTTTTTTCAGCATGGCATATTCATCTCCTGCTTCCTCTGAGTCTAGCTGTCAGTCCCATTTCTGTTCTTCTTCCCAGGGTCCTCTCTGCCCCCCAAATCCTGCCTAGCTATTGACCATTCAGTTTTTCATTAAATGAATCTGAGTGACAAATCTTCACAGTGAACAAAAGGACTACTCTATAAAAAACAATTCCTCCATACATCTGCTGCTGGTTTGCCGCCATCTTTGGGCTAGACTCCTGGAAGTGATATGCTGGTCTAGGGCAGATGGATCATTACTGCCCCACCCCATAATGACTGTATCATTTAGAATTCCTACCCACAGCGACAGAATACCTATTGGGGTATTCATATCACCCAGTCATAGAATGCATTGTTCCCTTTGGTTTTTGTCTATGTGACAGACAAGACATAGTGAGAATAATTTGTGTTTCTCTTGCTGCTAGTGTGATTGGACATTCTTCCCCCCCCCCAAGGTGCATTTGCAGTTTTATTTATTTATTTATTAAAGATTTCTGTCTCTTCCCCACCACCGTGATTGGACATTCTTGCAAATGCAGATTGGAAACTGCACATGGTAGTTAAGTACTCAACTATAGACCTGTGCCTCCACCCCATCACTGTCTATGAATCATCTAGTCAAACCTCTTCTTGCATTGTATTTTTGTTCAGGTCGGGGTTTTTTTATAGCCGCCTCTTTAAAAGAATGAGCTAATATTCTAAAGATGAACACAAGGAAAACAGATGAGAACAAAATAAGGGCAAATATGAAGGTGTTATGACAAAACCCAGTGCTTTGAATGCTAATCTAAAATTTTAATTTAAAGACTAAATCACTGGCAAAAAAAACTAATAATGAAATATTTATAATGAAATATTTATGCAAGAATGACTATAGGAGGTAATAAGGGCGATGGTGGTTATAGTAGTACATCTAGTAACCTCCTAATTTTGCTCGCTGAGTCATGGGAACAGGGTATACTTATCTCCAGAGTAGGATGGTGCGTGAGACCTACATGGAGAGAGGTCGGATTTCTTCGAATAGGTGATACCTGAACTGCTTTGAAGAATGACTAGAAGCCAAGAGAAGGTGTGGTTGGAGGACTTTTGGAGGACACCTTGAACCAAAGTCTAGAGACAGTACAATGGAGAGCAAAAATACAAGTTCAATGCTGCTAGTCATTCTAGTCCTCTTTTTGTCTGTACCTGAGGGTATGAACTTACGAGGAATGTTTGTTTCAGAGGTTTGGCCCATGGTTTGCCAGTTCCGTGGCTTTGGGGCTTAGAGTGAGGCCACGCGTCCTCATAGGGAGCACGGACACAATAACACAGAGCTGTTTATCTCAAGGCAGCCAGGAAAGCAAGCCAAGAAGAAAGGCTAGAGCCCAAGCTTCTCTCCAAAGACTTGTCCCCAGGGACCTCTCCCCCAACAGGTTCCCCTTACTAAATATTTCAGCCCTTTCCAGTAGCTCTCAGTCTTGTCAACCAAGACTTCAGCACTTAGGAAAATGTTCTAATTCTAGCAGAGGGTGAGCTGGGTGGTGAGTTGGGAGAGACACTCTAGGCCCCACAACCCACGGTAGTTAGGAGCACCTGTGGAAGGCATCCGCTTAGGAGCACGGGCCAGGTCTATCTTGAAAGTAGAACCACTTAGCTGGAGAACGGGCTTGGTGAAGCAGGCCTGGAGGCTCAGCACAGACAGCTGTTGACTTCAGGCAGGGCCCCTGAACACAGTTTTGACTCTTCCTTGGATAGAAGCTGGAATGTTTTTGGTCTCGTCAACAGGTCTTGTCCTTACCAGAAGATAGGAATGCCTGAA